CCCTGAGATGAAGTCTTTCTCCGTTGCCCAGGCTGCAGTACAGTGGTGTGATCTTGGTTCACTGCTACCTCTGCCTCTCAGGTTCAAGGGATTCTTCTTCCTCAGCCTCCTGAGTAGCTGGGACTATAGGCACATACCACCTCACCTGGCTAATTTTTGTATTTTTAGTAGACAGTGTTTCACCATCTTGGCCAGGCTGGTCTCAAACTCCTGACCTCCTGATCTCCCACCTTGGCCCTCCAAAGTGCTGGGATTACAGGTGTGAGCCACCTCACCCGGCCCATGAACACTTTCTTTCACGTGCACATTGTGCTTGTGGAGGGTAAGTTTAGTTAGCACTTAAGAGGTAGGAAAGGGATGAACGAGAGTAGGTGGACAGCTTTATTATAGATAGTAAAAAAAATAAGACACTGCTAAGTTGTACCATGCCATTGTTCATGTTTGAAGTAACTAGCTATGTCTACTTATGGGATATGGCATTGTCTACGTTTAAATGGCTGTTTATTGTGCAGCCTAGGGGGGCAGGAGAGAACAGTGGCTGAGTGTGGGCCGGTCACTTTGGAGGTCAGCTGAGACAGTCGTGTGGTACTCACGCACTCAGCATTTCTGGTCATCCATGGAGCGGGCCCTGCTGCTATGTGGCTGTGCCTGACCTGTCTCCTTTCTTTTCACAGGCGGTGATGGTGCCTCAAGGTGGCGGACAGCTGTGGGTCTTTGGAGGGGAGTTTGCCTCTCCCAACGGAGAGCAGTTCTACCACTACAAAGATCTCTGGGTACTGCATTTGGCCACCAAGACCTGGGAACAAGTCAAGTAAGAAGCCGGATGAGAAACTGAGCTCCAGGCATGGCTCCTCTGAGCCTGAGTGCTGAGCCCAAGTGCTGGGAGCAGACCTCAGAATACCAGGGCGGGGAGGATCCTGGGCCACGGTCCGGGAGCCCAGTCTCGCTGGGACCTGGGAGACCACGTTTTCTCTGGACCCTTCACAGGGAAGCCTGGCCCAGGTGTGGAGGGCACCAGCTGCCTGGCTTTGGTGACAGCACTGCCAGGATTGGCTGGGCCAGCTGTGCCTTGGGCTTGTTCTCCAGGTTCCTACTGTCATCTGCCACCAGCCTCTCGCTGGCCGTGTTACTGTCCTCCTCCTGTGGCCTTCATGTACACCCTTGGAGGCAGATGTAGGTACCCTGCTTGCTGGAAGGGGAGCTGATCCCCATCCATACGTGGCGTTTACGGAAAGGGCGTGCCCTTTCTGTGTGGAGTTGGCCAGAGGCAGGTAGGACGTTGATATTTCTCTTCAGTGAACCCGCTCTGCCTCTGTTCGTTTCCCCTTGGTTGGGAATGTTGCTGCCGGGGTTTCTGATGCACGTTTACCACAGGTGTCTGCCGTTAGTCCGGAGCTGCGTGTCTGTCTCTGTGTAGAGTAAGACGGTGTGTTTGCTTATCAGTTTTTGAAGAGAAGAAGCCTGGTGAAATGCCAGACCGAAGTAGAGTTGTTAGTGTCTCTCTAGGTGTGGCTTGGCCTGATTGCCATGGCTGCGACCCACCCTTACGGGCACCATATCCTGCCATTAAAGTGGCAGAGCAGAAGTCCCTTTCCCGGGAGGGAGGCCGCTGCACACAGGCCTTCTCCGCATCTGGGGCTTTGGCTGGAGGACGGGGTGCTCGCTGGAGCCCCAGCTTTGTTATGTCACGGTGAGCCTTGTTGGGGTGTTGGGGCCTGTTCTGCTGACTCCACTGCTGTGCCTGGCTCGAGGCCGGGAGTGTTAACCAGTCGGACGAAGAGTCCACGTTGCACAGAGGGTGCAGGTAGATGCGCTGCCCTGGGCCCACGTGCTGGAGGAGAGCGTGACCGTAGCCTTGCAGCAGGACCCGGAAGGTGCTGTGGTGTGGGTGGGTTACTGTGTCCCCTGGCTTTCCAGTCCCCTTTCTCGTGCTGGCTTTGTAAAAGGTTCATAATTTTAGTAGGCACAGCAATCAGGAAATGACTTTGATGCTGAAAATGGGTTTGTGTGTCTTGAAACTCATGTACTTGAAGTATTTGCACTCAGCAGATAGTTGTCGTCTCTTGCTTTTTGTAACTGTTCCTTTCACAGTCCACTTGGGACTGATTTGCTTGTTCACATTTGGCAAATCGTTTTGTGTTTGTGTGTGTGCGCGCGTGTGCGCACTTGCGTGTGTGTGTGTGTGTGTGTGTGTGTGTGAGTGAAGAAGTATTGCTCTGTCTCCTAGGCTGGAGTGCAGTGGTGTGATCTTGGCTCACTGCAACCTCTGCCTCCTGGGTTCAAGCAATTCTTCTACCTCAGCCTCCCAGGTAGCTGGGAGTACAGGCAAACACCACCAGGCCAGCTAATATTTTTTTGTATTTTTTTTACTGGAGATGGGGTTTCACCATATTTGGCCAGGCTAATCTTGAACTCCTGACCTTGTGATCCGTCCACTTCAGCCTCCCAAAGTACCGGGATTATAGGCGTGAGCCACCACTCCCAGCCTGATTAATTTTTGTAAATAGCATTTTAAATAGCATTTCCAAGGGAGATATGGGGTACACGGTGGGTGCCTGGTCACTTTGGGAGTGGCCCTGGCTCCTGTCTTGGGCAGGTAGCCGCGGGTGGGAGCCCCTACCCTCGTGTGCAGCTCCAGCTGCATCCCACACTGTTGGCTTGGGCGCAACACAGGACATCCAGGCAGCTGCCCGGGGTCAGGATTATCTGATAAACAGATATCTTGTTACTTGAATGCTTGCTTGTTGTAATTAGAACAATTAAAACAGATTTGTTTTAATTACAGGGGAATTATGTCCTTCACTGTCTTCTTTTTGCCAGAATCTTTGTTTGTGGAGGTAACTGTCTCTGGTGATGATTTCTGGTTCTGCTGGGCCTAAGTAGTCATTAGCAAGGGAGACCTGTGGGGGTGATGAACAGAGACCTGGCAAAGCATTGCTTTGAGATGTTTGCCTTGGCAGCCATGGTGTGACTGGTGGGTCCGCAGGTCACCCTTGGTCCTGGAGGGGCGTGTGAAGTGTGAGTCTGATGAGGAGACACAGCCTGAGTACAGATTTGGAGGTCAGGAAATTGAGGCTGTGCCCCTAAATTAATTAATCCCCCCCTCCTCCTTCCTTCTCTTCCTCTCTCTCTCTTTTTCTTTCCTTTTCTTTCTCTTTCTTTTTTTTTACTTTTGTTATTTATTTAATAGAGACTGGGTTTCACCCTGTTGACCAGGCTAGTCTCAAACTCCTGACCTCAGGTGATCTGACCACCTCGGCCTCCCAAATTGCTCAGATTTCAGGTTCGAGCCACTGCACCCGGCCTCTTTCTTTTTCTTTCTGGCCTTTCTTGTCTCTGTCTCCTTTCTCTCCTTTTTTTTTTTTTTTTTTGTCTGTCTCTCCTTCCTTCTTCAAGAGACAGAGTTTTACTGTTGCCCTGGCTGGAGTACAGTGGTGTGATCACACCTTAATGCAGGCTCAGACTCCTGGTCTCAAGTGGTCTTCCTCCCTGAGCTTCCCGGGTAGCCGGGATTACAGGTGTTGCACCACTGCGCCTGACTAAATTTTTTTTTAAGAGATGGAGTCTTGCTCTGTCCCCCAGGATGGAGTACAGTGGCACGATCTTGGGTCACTGCAACCTCTGCCTCCTGGGTTCAAGCAGTTCTCCTGCCTCAGTCTCCCAAGTGGCTGGGATTACAGGCACATGCCACCACGCCCGTCTCATTTTTGTATTTTTAGTAGAGATGGGGTTTCACCATGTTGACCAGACTGGTCTTGTACTGCTGACCTCGTGATCTGCCTGCCTCTGCCTCCCAAGGTGCTGAGATTAGAGGTGTGAGCCACTGTGTCCGGCTTAAAAAATTTTTTCTTTCTTTTTTTAGAGATGGGGTCTTGTTATATTGCCCAGGCTGGTCTTGAACTCTTGGCCTCAAGTGATTGTTCCACTTCAACCTTTAGAGTAGCTGGGATTATAGGCGTGAGCCTCTCTGCCGGGCTGAGCAGCTTCATTTCTGTATGTCTACTGTTCAGCAGGATTTGGTTACTGCTGCTTCACGTGTCTGTGATTGGGAGACGACTTACCTTGAGCCTGGTTCGGTTGTGAAGGCCCTGATGAGACTCACAATGGTAACAAATGGTCTGCGGGAGATGATGTTGGACAGCAGATATCCAGGTCCCTTTCCACTTTGTCTCCCATCATGTAGTCAGATCTGGGCGCTGAGCGCTTGCCCTCATTAACACCAGGTATCTTGACTGTCCTCATGGCCTCAACCTGCCCTCTTCCACCCTGTCCCAATGTTGTCTTGAAGACCTTCAATGTGAATGACCCCCTTCTATTGTGTACCAGCTCCAAGCACATCTTAGCTAAGGTTTCCTGAGCAAGACATTCAGCAGAAGCCAGAATAGATGAATGGATTTGCCCATATAAAACAGGAAGGTCTTTGTGTGGAAAAGGACGCCACAGGGAAAGTTAAAAATAGTGACCGGTGGGGAGAAAGCACCTGCAACATCAAGCAGAGCTCACATCAGGGAAGGTGGTGCCCTGTGAAGCAGAGCAGCAGGCTGGGCAGAGGGCATCACGAGGCAGGCCATGTTTGTACATAGTTTGTACAAAAAACATGTACAAAAGTATTTCCAAAAAACAGGATGCAGAACAACATATGCTTGGAAAAAAGCCTGCGTGTGTGCACATGTGTGATTATATGCATGTGTGCGAGTGTGTGTATGCATGGTTGTGTGTGCATGTATGTGTGCATGCATATGTGGCGTATGTGTGCTGGCACACCTGTGCTTGTGTGATTGTGCATGCATGTGTGTGTGCATACATGATCGCATGTATGTGTATGTGTGAGCATGTCTGTGCATGCACCTGCATATGTGTGTGTGCACCTGCAAGTACACACCTAGAGAACCCAGTTACGTGCACACTGTATGTGCACATGAGGAGATTGCTATCCTTTCTGAGGTTTCTTATGATTTATTGATCTTTTCTTGGTGCCATTTTTTAATGCTATTTTAATTACTGTAGCTTTATGGTATTTTTTGATAGCTTGGAAGATTTTTCTCATTTAAAGTCTTTGCTTTTTATTTCATGAGCTTTACCATCAGTTTTTCAAATTCTTGTTTTTCTCTGAGACAGAGTCTAGCTCTGTCAACCAGGCTGCAGTGCCATGGTGCAGTCTTGGCTCACTATAACCTCTGCCTTGCTCGTTGAAGAGATTCTCCTGCCTCAGCCTCCCGAATAACTGTGATTACAGGTGCCTGCAACTATGCCTGGCTAATTTTTGTATTTTTAGTAGATTCAGAGTTTCACCATGTTTGTCAGGTTGTTCTCCAACTCTTAACCTCGTTACGCACCCGCCTCGGCCTTCCCGAAGTATTGGGATTACCGATGCCCGCCACCATGCCTGGCTAACTTTTGTATTTTTAGTAGAAACAGGTTTGCCATGTTGGCCAGGCTAGTCTTGAACTTCTGACGTCAGGTGATCTGCCCACCTCGACCTCCCAGTTGCTGCGATTACACGTATGAGCCACCGTGCCCGGCCCTCAAATTCTGATTTTGAAAGTCCAGCAGAGTTTCAGTGGGATTGCGCATTTGCTGATAAACTGCATTTACGGAGTGACACCATCATAATCCACAGTCGTTCCCCTCGGGAACACTGTACATCTCTCCATTTAGTTGAGCTTATTCCTTTATTTAAAAATTTAAACCTGGACTGCGGTGGTGAGAGTGTCAAATCGTAACCACGAAACACCCTGGGAAGTTAGGTTTATTTATTTATTTTTATTTCTTTAGTCAACTTTAAAATGCCCCAAAGTAAAATTGCAGAGT